AAAAAAAAAAAAAAAAAGGATAAAAAAAAGATAAAAAAGATAAAAAAAAAGAGATAATAAAATAAAAAAAAAATTAAAAAAAATAAAAGTTCAAATTATATTCTCTCCCTACCTACATTAAGACCTGAAAAAGTTAACACAATACCGTTAAACTCTACACTGCTTTGATCAAGAAGCATGTATCGTGGATTCCAACGTGGAGCAAAGGTTCAAATAATTCTTAAAGCAGCTGTGACGGCCTCACTTGTTTCCTTATTAACAAAAAAATAAGCACCAACATTCCAACAACCACAACTGTCACGAATGTATAAAGTAAATAGACGCCACCCATGCTTATTAGTATTATGTGTAGAATCTATTAATGTTAACCAACCATAATTAATTAAATTTTCTATCTGCCAAATATTTGCAAAACATAGGCCTCGAAAATGCATAGGTGATTCTTGCTTTTGAAAAGACTCAACCTGATAATTGTTTTTTAACAAAAATTCATTTGTACTTAAAATATCAGATTGTAAATCTGCATCTTCAACAAGATGCGAATTTATCGGACCAACGAGCTTCTGTTTGATATTAGCAACCTCTTTAGTTTTCAAATACTCCACGCCCAAATCCTCATATAGTTTAGAAACTTCTTTTCTAATAACATCTGTGATTGTCAGGGTTTGTAATCCTTAATCGCCTCATTACCCACCATATCTTTAATAAATTTTGACCATTTACACATATCATTTTCTTCCATTGAGTGGCTATGATCAGGAGTACCACTTATCTACAAATATTTTTTTTTTTAAAAAAAAAAAAACCAAAAAACATTACAATAATATTTTGGATCATGTTATTTTTGCTTACCCTTTCAATTCTAACTGTATTTGAGGCCGCTAACTATGTTATTCTAATTTTAGCCTCACAATCAATAGCGGGTTTTTTCTAGGTTACACAAAGTTTTTCAGAAGTAATATTTTCCTTTCTTTTGCTTGATTCTTTAGGCTTTGAAAGCCTACAAACAAAAGTTTTACGCTCATCACCATTGTTTAATTTGTATTCATTAAATCTTGTCCAAATATTATTGACAAGAATCCACTGCTTATCAAAGTCTTTGATAGAAAGCTCAAATATTTCA